CCAACGCACCACTAATTGCTACTATACAATGGAAAAAATAATCTTGATAATAAATTACATATTTTGAGAGACCTCTATCACTCTAAGTAGTTTTCAGGGGGGTCCACTGAAAAAAAGAAAACTGAAAGCCTATAAAACTGCAGTAAAATTATAACAAAACGAAACTCCAGACGTTATTACGTATTAGGGTCATATTACATCATTGGCTCTCGTGGGAAAGCTAAGACCATAACTTATGACCTCCTTTCGGCAGAACATGCAACTTTAAAGTGCTGCAATACTGATACTGATAAATTACTATCAACAACAGAGATTCACTTTAAAATGTAATTTGATAATATAGTGGAACCCTGTATTAAACGGCACCTTATAAAGCGGTCATCCTTTTTTAAGCGGTCGGTTTTCAGGGTCCCGAATCTGCTTCTCATTAATCAACGGCACTGTAATGTTCACCTCTATAAAGCGGTAGTGGCCCATCTAAAACTGGGAGACTAATGTCCCATCTTAAGCTGCAAAACATCCGAGGATATACCCTTTTGGCGTGATTTTCCCCAATTCTGAAACCTAACATTAACTACGATGAAAGCGTTCGTTTAAAATTGAATTTAAGATGAAAGTGGCTATTATTGAAGATGAAACATAAAAATGAAACATTTCAAGCAGCAAACAGCGAGTTGTTCGTTAACATTTTCCCCGCGTGTTGGAAAAATATTAAAGGATATTGCACGCAATAAGCGCCATTTGGCCCCTAAAATGTGCTCGTTCACTTGTCTTTGGACATTATCTGTTCCTCAAAGCTCACAGTTTTCCAGGTCTCCCTGGAACTGATCAGATTATCAAACTACCTTTTTAAGTGAATGTTTTCTAACTAACTGTTTTTCACTATTTTTAACTTTTGAAATACTTGACTTCTCATGATATTTTTTATATAGCATAATCAATTATAAATTGCCTTTTTTTCTCTCTTTCTGGCCCACAATGTAAACTACTGAGTCCACCGGTAATATGTGGTAGCTGTTTAAGTATTTATTTATTAATGCGCTTGTGACCGACTTTCTACCGTAGTTTGATGCATCTGACTTTGATGCCTAAAACTATTTCAAGTAATATTTAATCAAATACGAAGGATAGCATTGTTCGTTATCAAAAATGACAAAGATCTTTGATTGATTTTCATCGTCAACGCAAGAATCGTACAAATCACCTGCCAGATTGCTTGGATCCTTCAATGGCGGTCGACGAAAAGTTTGCTCTCCACGCTTAAATTCTCCAGTCAACACTTTTGCCAGAAACATGTATCTCGTTCTGTCACCCTTAGCTTTGCTGAAGTTATTGCTGTAAGATGCGTCTACAGCGAAATAAATTCCTTGCCCATATTTTGTCGCGTTCTTCCCACACATTCTGTGGTCAAAGTTGCGTGTGCAGATGGCATCAACAACATTTGATGTAGTACCATGGAACAGTAACTTTTCACGTATAGGTTTAAGTTGCTCTCTCATTTCTTGGCCCTTTCTGGATAAAGGTGAAAGGTAAAAAAGCTTAGCTATTGACGGTCTACGTTCGAAAACAGCATTATTTCGGTCCGCACTGATTATATTTCACCCAAGCGGCGTAAATAACCCTTAAGACTAACTTTGTGAGTTAGTTAATACCCACATCTTAGGCTCCCTTGAACTACGCAGAATTAATCACGAACAGGTTCCGGTGTACATATTATTTTTCCCTCCTAGTAGCCTTCCTCAGCAATTACCTTTCGTATTTCTGCAATAAATGATCATTTGTTATTTTTTCCACCATCACTATAGAGGCGCGGTGTTCCGGCATTGTTTCGTGAAAGCGCTCACTCACAGTTCGGTATTCTTTGGTGTCCTTTTTCAGGTTAGTTCTTTCAACGGCTATTACCTGACCTTTCGGATTGCTGCAATAATAACAAAGGCGATGAAACAAGGATGGGTGTTGTTAGACGGGATCCTGAGCTCTTGAGTCCTACTGAAAGCGTCGAGGTATTACTTAGCACGATGTCTAAACGTTTATCAGAAACGAATCTTAAGTTGACAAATTAAGCATTTTCCATGCCTCACACATTTTTCCCGAACCCCCTTCGTCAAGGACGATTATATGAACTAAAATCAATACAAGAACAAGTCAAGGGTTTCAATGGCGAACAATTCAGCCTGCGTCAAATTCTAAGTCAGTCGCAAAATGAAAACGATGAACGATATCTGCATTGCTTGTAACAGAAAAACACACACCATCCACTTACATGGAGACTGTCAATTATTAAAATCATCATTATCATCACCATTATTATGTTTCGGTTTTTCATCGATTGAAAGCCTAGTTTCGTCCCGGGACAGCCTACAAAAGGAATATTCCCTCTTTCAGTGACTTCTCAAAAAAATCGGTAACTCCACCTAATTGGAGCACAGTCTGTGTTCACTCACGTCACTGTGGGCTGCAGTGCTGACATTGGTCTTCTTCTGACGAGCCGAGCCGCTTGGACTTTTGGATCTGCACTCCTTTGGTTCATAAGTGTACCCTCAAAATGTATGACGTAATCGTTCCCACCGATTTGAAAGTAGTAAGCAGGGTCTCCATTTAGATACGATGCTTCAATTTGCTCTTGTTTTGTTCCAGAACAAAGCTAAAACAGAAGTTTTAAGAATTTTAAGTTTGAACCATCCATAATCATGAAACCTCAGCCCCAGGATTTCTCTTCTCTTTTTATTTTCATCTAAGCTGTCATGTAAAGTGAATATATTTTATCTTGTTCGTCAAACTTTTACTTGCAAAAAAAAACGACACTTTTTAAAAACATGTTTCGACAGTTCCTCTGTCATCTTCAGTTCTGATTTATACAAAGTACAAAGCTGAATATAAAGTGTATAACAAAATGCTGATTGGACATAGCGACCAATAGTAACAGAACAATGTATGCATTACAAGGAAAGTTTTTAATTAACATGATAAAGTTGATGATTAAGTGTAGGTTTCTCCCATTATATGTGGATAGCTTTAATTTTACGTGGAAAGTTGTGGATGCGTGATCTAAGATGCTAAAACACTCATCAGAACATAGAGTGCGACATTGTGGAGAACTATATAAATGTCTGAAAATGTTAGAGGTCCTATTGGCGAAACCTCTCGGCATTTATCCACACATCTGCGTTAGCACCTGGTCAGTGATAGGACCTCTCACATTCTCAGACATCTGGCATACCCGGACCATTGTGTGATCGTATTTTTGCGTAGTAGCTACCGCTACTTACCTTTGTTTCAGTATATTTTTTCCATCCATCGATGTCTTCCCAATACCAAACCCACAGTGTGGGAAACTTGTTGTCGCGTTCTTTGATGTAAGACGGTGTTGAGCATCGACGGATCAAAAACTGGTTAAAGGAGGAAATCAAGCTCATGGACATTGTATGAAAATTGGCTGACATCTTTCCTGATAGCTTTCTTGTATGTCTGAAAAGAAACAAAAAAGAGCGACACTGCCTAAGCCTATTCCAGACGTTTTGTTAGTGAGCTGCAGCGCTACAGGTCTACTTGCAGGCTCAAATTGGCGCTGCGTCACAAGCGGTGAAGCCCGCGCGTTTGAGCGGACAAGCAATGTGAGCTTGCGGGAGATCCGCCTTGTTTCTAGCACAAAGTTAGTGCCAGACCCCTCTCAGACCTCTCGTTTCCCTCCTTTACTCCTTTGCCGCACCAGTGAGAGCCCACTCGCAGGCTGCGGTACTTCACTACAACTATTTCCAATCTTCTTCCGTTTCTCCTAGTCTCATTCTGCGTCGCTAATACAATCACGCAGCAGAATGATAATAACTAACTGAAGCCTTGACACATGCTAAAATGTCGCACGAGATAGCAGATGCTATAAAACGTACGAAGTTACTGAAGTATTTTACAGATATAGAGTTTTGCCGAGAAATTGACTGGCTTCTGTGGAGCAGTATTCTTCTCTAAACGAACCCGCTTTATAGCCTCAAGAAAAAAAGTTAAACGGTCGAACATTTTGGTGATCTGTGGTCTCCATAGACATCATTTTCAAGTGAGATGTTCACGGTAATTATAAGGTTACCAAAGTTTCTGGCTAAAGGTATAAAAAATTGTACCTTTTGTGAGCAAATGTATACGTTTCCCTTATTGTTTAAGAATAAACACGTACTAACCTTATTGTGGTGTCTTCAAGTTCGATTTCAACCTCCACATTGTTTACGTCACAGTAAAGCTCTTCCAGAACAACATTGTCAGAGCGGCCGAAATTTTTCCAAGTATAGGAATCTGCTTCTTTGAACTGCCAGAGGTATGGTGTAGACTCACTATCGCCGACAAGGGATGAAGCTGCGGTTTGTGAAGGGTAATATGAAAATGCTACTTTATCTTAAGGGATTTAAAATTAAAGAACAGGAACTGTGATTCCTATTTGTGACTTCATTTGAATCGATGCTTTAGCTTAAGAGGGAACATCAAATTAAGCAATCGTATCGGTTTAGATGCAGGAACTATTACTGTAATCCACCACAGTTCAGTTGAATTAAGTGTAACACTGTGGCCCATTTCTTGCAGTGTA